AAATACTTCCGATAGCGGCGTGTTTGGTGGTAATTTACTAGTTTTATCAATACTGAGTGGATTTGTTAAATAAAGTGTAGGAACTGCATTACGTTTTRTAGAAGATTTAACAACTCCAAAAATTTTTGATTGACAAATATCATCAGCTTTGAAATGTCTGGAACATATGYAAGTTCTTTTTACATCATTATTTTCAGTTAATCCACAAACATTTAGCCACTTCAAACGTATCTCCAAATTTTTCGGAAATCTAAAATTGATCAAATTTAAATATTATTAATAACATAATAAAGGATTTCATCTAAAAAATTAAAAATAATTTGTACTTACTGATGCAAAGAAATATTGTCAGCTCTCGACGCTTTTCTATCACATAAATAACACAACTTCACCATTTTTCAATAACTGATTGTTGGAAAAAGAATATTATTTAAATAAAAACAAAAGTTTTTWAAAATTTATAATTGTTTTTCTGAATTACAATAATAAATATATTTGTAAACAGAATCATAACCACAAAATTATTCTTATATATAGCGTCCAAGAATGTAAACAGTTGATTGATTCTTCATTATAATAATTCTTTACACTTTAAAAAATTGTGTCATTTAATAATTTTATTACAAAATCTTCTTGTCTCATTTTATTTACAATAAAGTATTATCATATTTACTCGGAATATAAGCAATCCCAATTGCTTTATTGATATATAACATGAAGGTGTACAATAACCACATGCAACTGGAAAATAATACTTGACAAATGGAGGTAGGCCACTTTCAAAATAGGCAGCTCATATAGTTTGTTATTTAGAAAATAATTTATCATCTATCAAATAGGAAAAATGATTTTTCAATTACCATGGATGATGTGCTAAGCAGCTACAGCGCACCCTGGAATAAAACTTTATTTGTTCTATATTTTGGGGATAATTTTATACACAGCGATCGTTCCCCTTATTCTCTAACTCCGTGGGATAATATATCAATGGGTACGAACGCGGAAAAGGAAAGCTAGGTTAGTAGTTGCATATAGCACATGAAATCCACGTGCATTTTAAATGACTGTTGTACTCTATAGAGAAAATATACTGTAATATTAATGGTTAAAGACTGAATTGTAAATTAAATGTAAATTATGTCGGGTAAAAAAAGATCTTTCCATGGTGGAAAAGGATCATATGATAAACGATATGAGAAACAACGAAAACGTAAGAAAACGAAGTTTAATTATCGAGAAGCATCATATGTTAAGGAACGAGAATTGAAAAATGAACAAATTGAAAATCGTCGAAGGTTATTAGAAGAAGAAGCTGCACAACAAATTCATCATGAAGTTACTGATAATTCTGAGGATGAAGTAGATTATGTTAATAAATTAGTAGAAAAATTACCAAATAGGAAAATATTAAGAAATGTGAATAGTAAATCTGATTCCGAAAGTGAACTATCTGAATTAAGTTCCACCAGTAATGATGAAAGTTACCAGAGTCATGATGAAAGTTTTCAGAATAATGAAAATAAAAATTCATCAACAGACGAAGAGGACAAGGAGAAAATGACTAATCAAAAAGATGAAGATGAAAATTTGGAAGATGCAGAGGAAGATATTGAGACGGTTAAAGAGGATGTTGACTGTTTGAAAGATCCTTATTCTGTACATTTAAATTATGATTTGGATACAAATCTTTTGAAAGTTCTTTCATGCGAGCTGCAAATTACAGAGGTAACGAAGTTCAAATGGCCAAAACTTGGAAATATTATCTGTGAAATACCAAACTCAAAAAATGCAAATAACTCTGATAATATTTCTACAATTTCTGTTTTGGAAACAAAACAATATGCGCAAAGCGGTAAAGTTCCTATTTTAATCGATACGGTAGATTGGAATGATTTATTCATAAAACCACAAATTCAGCCTAATCTTGAAAAGGCTAACTCTACTAATTTAAGTTCTATAGAATCAGTGACAAGTCCATTAACTCCACTCCAAAAAGAATTGTTTTCAATAATAAACAATTATCAAGACTTATATTATCCGGAAAGAACATTTTCTAATGCTGAAGAAATTAGATTTGTATATTGTTTGCATACAATTAATCATCTATTAAAAACTAGAACTAAAATATTGCATCATAATGCTAAATTAGCTAAATTGAAAGATTTAGCAACTGCGAATATTCCTGATGAATATAGAGATCAAGGATTTTTTCGACCAAAAGTCCTCATAATTTTGCCTTTTAAACATTCGTGTTTACAAATTGTCAAATTATTAATTGCAATATTAATTGGAGAAGATACAGGTGGTTCAGTGATGAACAAAAATAGATTTATGAAAGATTTTACTGGCAATGAATTGGCCTTGCCCAAGAAAAATCCAAAACCGGAGGATTATGCTAAAATATTTGAAGGAAATATAAGTGATGATTTTAAAATAGGAATATCGATCACGAAGAAAACTTTAAAACTTTACACAGAATTTTATTCATCGGATATAATTATTTGTTCCATGTTGGGTCTGAGAATGCTGATTGGTGTGGAAGGAGAAGCAGAAAGAGATTATGATTTTCTAGCATCTATAGAATTGTTGATCGTGGATCAAACAGAGTTATTTCTAATGCAAAATTGGGATCATATGTTGCATATTTTAAATCATCTCCACTTACAACCAAAAAAAAGTTCTGGGATTGATTTTTCGCGTGTAAGAAGTTGGAGCATCAATGGTTGGTCCAAATATTATAGACAAACGTTAATATTTTCTAATGTTCTACTTCCACAGATTGTGAATATCTTTAACAAAAATTGTTGTAATTATGCGGGAAAAGTTAAGGTGCAGAATGCTATACATTCTGGTTCTGTTAATCAAGTAGTGCTTCGAGTAACTCAAACGTTCCAGAAATTTTATTCGTTAAGTTATCCTCAATCATTAGTTGATAGATTAGAAGTTTTCAAAAAGGAAATATTACCGCGATTCAAGGACGGAATAATGAATCATACATTGATTTACGTAGTCGATTATTATGATTTTGTGAAGCTTAGAAATTATCTCAAGAAAGAAGAGATCAATTTTGTACAAATTAGTGATTATTCCCGTGATGCTAAAGTGGCACGAGCTAGGGATATGTTCTTCCATAGTGATGCACATTTTTTATTATATTCAGAGCGTTTTCACTTTTATAATCGAATACGTATAAAAGGTATACGACATATTATATTTTATTCATTACCGACGATTCCACATTTTTATAATGAAATTTGCAATTTTATGCAAGAAAGTTATCAAAATCCTAAAGCAGGTTCTAAAAATAACATGAGTGTAACTAGTATATACACTAAATACGATTCTTATGTACTGTCTGCTATAGTCGGTACAGAAAGAGCAAACCAAATGATTAAGTCAGAAAAAACAGTACATACAATTATTACAACTGCATAATTTTTATCATTGGTCAATTCGATTTAAATATATATTACTGTTTATTAGAAAAAAATAAACATATTTTTCTACTTCTGTTGCATGCTAATATTTGCGCTTAAATTTATAGAATTTAAATTTATTGAAAATTTCTCTACAATATATAGTAACGATTTACATGTAATCATTTAATTTTTAAATTTTTATAATACATACGACACAAATCTGTCATTTTATTCAATCAAACAGGTACTCGAAATAATTGTCAATAGTTTGGATCCTACAGACGAATAAAGTCGATTGACTCGTACCTAAATAATAATAATAATAATAATAATAATAATAATAATAATAATAATAATAATAATAATAATAATACCCTTGGTGTGTGATACGGGTATAATACTAATAATAATAGTAATAATAGTTATTAAAAAATAGAAGAATATTTTTTTGCATACATTAATTTTAAGTATTTACATATTAATAAAGTTTAAGAGCATAGGCCTTTGCATCACTGCATATTGTACAATCATTCAGATTTCGACTCTTTTCTCATAAAAGGAAAATAAAAAGAAAAACGATGAATCTAATCTTAATTTCGACTTTTATCCTCTTTATAAGATTTGGTGGTTGTAACAACATCGATCATTCGAGATTCTTTAGATGCAATTGAGGAGGAAGATGTATAAGGGAATATTTCTTTGGTTTTTGTTGTTCCAGTTAATATTTGTAAAAGGCTTTTTTCCCGTAGAGTAGTTGACATTTCTGATGTCTCATCCGTAGTCTCGTTTGTTGTGATTGACTTAGCAGTAGTTGTCTTTCCGATCTGAGTTTCTGCAAAATATCAAATAAATAAAAAGATATATTAATAGATTAATAAAGTAACAATAGTGTCAAAAAATATTAAAGGATAGAGAAATAAGTAGGTGTATAATATATAAAAAAATAATAATTTTTAATAGTTACAAATAGCTTTTAATTTAAAACAAGCCTTTTTTTACTTATTTCATTTCCATATTACTACACTTACGAAATAAAATGTTCTCTAAAATAATGAAATTTTGTTGACCAGTGTATGTTGCAAATTTTGTTTAATTTACAAATCCACTAATAACCAAAAAGTATAGAAATATTACCATTAAGAGTAGATGGAATCGCTATAGTGTCCGAAGTTTTACAATCAGGTTTGAGCACCTGATCCTTCACCCTCGCCGTTCGAATGGATTGATCCATTGGGTCCCAAAGAAAAGTATAATACAAGGATAGAATAATAGCAGCCATACTGACGAATATAATGTAGGCTATTACGGTAAGTACGCGTATTAATTTTTTCTTGTGCTTAGGTTCATATAATTTATCCTTTCTTTCCTCGCCAGCGAAACGTATCTCATTTGCTTGAACTTTTTCACGAGTACCCAAAGTACGAGTGATACTTGCCATTACGTTTTGAGCGCTCATTTTTCTTGGAAGCTGCATCTTCAATTTGGTTTCCTGAGAATGTATATTTCAGTATAAAAATAATTATGTTCTCTTCCTTTTATTTTATTTTTTCATGAAATTGCTCGCAATTCGATTCGTCATTCATAAAAGTTAATTAGTTTTTTTAAAAAAAGGTATGCACAATTACGTCAATCTTAGATTTTCATCAAAGTTTCATTTGTCTTATTTTTTTCTTTTTGTAAATTAATTTCCCTACTGATGTCTAAAATATTCTAGTTAAACGCACGCAACATTCACCACGCATAGACACACATTGTTATATATTAATTAATTTTCTTTGTTTATTAAGACTAGGCGCGTGCGATCATATCACTCCCTTATGTTTTCGATATACTTTCGTAAACATTAGATAATCGTGCATGAATGAATATGACAGATGTCCACGTGGATTTCAACCTAGGGAGAAACCCTTTTCCTCGTCATAATCTCTTATTGAATCTAAATATGCTATATCTATAAAGTTATTTTTTAGATACCAATTGCTCAGCAGTAAGAATAAAATAAAAAATATTAAAGAGAAAGAGAGAGAACAAGAAGCGCATTTTTGTGTATGTATGCGTGCGAATGAATGAATATATATAGTCTCTTAGCACATTAAAAGCACAGCACCCTTTTCTTCTTATTTTTATTAATTTTTGTCTTTTTCTTCTACTATTTAGATATTCCTCTTTCTTCCGATTCTTGTATTTTACTTACAATTAGACCGACCTTATATTGCTTAGCTGTTTTTATTACTAAAAGCACACCCACCTCGAGAAAATAGATATATACGTGGTGCAAACATCCCCAATGCGCAAACTCGTCCAATGAGCTAACTTGAAAATAAAAATGAAAGAGAGAAAGAAGCTTACGCGTGCGCGCACACATTTTATGCGTAGCTTTGAGTTGATTTCTTTTTTTTTTCACTTTCACACACAGCAGTTGTTTTATTTTTTCGAAATATTTTTTTAACTTCTTTCTTCTTCTTTTCTCTTGTTTATTTTTATTTTTTTGAACGTTGTTGGCAAACGTCGATAGATAATAATCGATCGATCACTCGTACTTCATACTCAAGTAAGTATTCTCACAAATGAAATTTCATTTGATATTTTTCTTTATCTTAGTCAAATTCTTTTCGAAAATATTTATTAGAAAAAATAAGGAAAAAGTCGATTATGTTTTCGTATTTTTACCATTCACAAGAGATTTCTTTCTCTTGTTTTTCTAAGATCATTCGTTTCACATAGGTAAATTCTTTTTTAAATTTAGATTACATAACGTGAATTTGATTTAACAAATATCCTTTAATTTCGACAATCTTTGACTCTGGTAAAAATGAATGAATATTGGACAAAATGAAAAAAAATATATATTTTTCGAAAAAATTTATGAGATTTTTTATTTAATTTTGAAGATTGATGAAAAGAAAATATTCTTTTCGAGATGTGTCTCGAAGGATTATGACGACACACCTTTGTTTTTGTCGAAATGTGCGTCAGAATGAATATACCTATCGTTCGCTACTTTGACAAACATGCGTCGTTCGATCAAACCATATTTTATTCGTTAAATGTTCTTCGAACGATTATTGGATGGACAAAATTGCTTAGATTAATCGAATCCAATTTAATCGATTTATTAGATTTATTAGATTGTTGGTATAATTGCGAATAAAATAGATCATTTTTCAATTCGAATTTCTTATTGTTTTATGTAACCCTGACGTAGGAAAAAAAAATACTAAAAGAAGCCATAACTGTTTGACCCTGTTATACTTATTACGTTCACAATACAGATGATCTTGGTACATCTATATCACGAACACCCTTATTTCTAAGGCTTTAATCTTCTCCTATTCTACCCCCTCCTCCTCCTACTCGATTTCATCCCTATCCTCTTTCCTGTTTTTCTTTAATGTTCTTATACATTTTTTTTTATAGATTTCTTGGATCGTTTCGTAACGAAGTATTTAAACGGATAGTCATATTTAACCGGTTGTAAAAGATGTTACTTGATTAAGATATATTTTTTATTGCTTTTAGAGTAAACTAATGTATGTATATATATTGCGTTGATATTTTAATCTTCTATAATGTTATATAACTTTCAAGTCACATACTTATGCACATATCTGTATTTTTTTTCACATTTTCGCTAAATACAAGTTATAGTTATTGTAAGGATAATTTAATTATACTAATGTAAATTATGTTACAGATTTGAAATTATCTAATTTTATTTTCTTGTAGAAGATTAAATTATTATAAATATAAAAACATAGTCAAAGTTAATATAGCGTATCATTGATTATACATCGACGCCATCTTTTAATCATTTTGAATAAAATCTATTAATAATTATTTATATAACTTTGAATTAAAATCTAAAATTCAATTTTCTTTATATAAATTAAACGTAAAAATATGCCAATAATTCTAGTCGATTCAAATATCCATTTAAATTATTCATTTCGAACAGAAAATCAAAATGTTTTTGTATAGTTTTATCAATTGGATATTTCTCGTCGTAATCCTCGTCGTTGCTACTTTGTTTTTATTTTTTATTTTTTATGGGATAGATGAAATATTCACACACGTGAAATAGGATCTAAAAGGAGAGAATTTCTGGATCGTTGCAAAGCCAACGTGAAGCTGACGTAACTACTGACTTGTATAATAAACTAAACCATACGAGAAATCTGTTTATGCGACTACGAAGTGTTCTATAAATTTTCTCGAAATTCTCTTTCAAAGCTTTTCACGTTTCGGTAACTGTCTTATAAGACTATATCACGTTAAAAACAACCTCCATACGAGATAAGTATAATATAGCGATCAAAAGTAAGTTAAGCATTATACGTTCTCTTTATATGATTTATGCGAATAATATTTTATAAATCTAACTAATCGTTTTTCGATAAAACTAAATAAATAAAAAGCTCATTTCGACAATTTGTTTACCCAACGACTTACTTTTTTCTTTATTTTCATCTTCTTCATGTTTTCGTTCACTCTTTTCCATTAAGTTGTTATACATAATTTTATTCATGAAAATTGTCTCATTCATTTTGTCCTTTCTTTCTCCTTCTCGATCGATTACTATACTCTGCTTTAAATTATAATTTTGACGAAGATTCTTCCATGGTAAATTGATTTTTTTATTTTCCTTCATATTGTCATCTTCATTGTCTCGATTATTATGTTTGATGAGATATTCTTGTATAGAAGAAGAAGAAGAAGAATAAGAAGAAGAATAGTTGTCGTTATTTCTTTCATGAATCAGTTCTTCTGCCAGGGTAGTTTTCAAGGTGGTTGCAAATTCTTCAAGATCATTGTTACCGAGGGTACTTTCTTTCACGTGTTCTTGAATTCTTTCGTTAGAATTATTTCTCTTCGACGATGAGTGTCGTGAGATTGTTTCCAAATGTTGTTCAGGTGGTGATTCGATTCTAAGAAAATCTAATCGAGGATCAGCTCGTAAACGAATAGCTGGGCTATGCATGAGTCGTGGATTAGGTGGTTCCCAAAGGAATACATAATAAGCGCTTAATACGATCGCGACAAAACTTACTGAGAACATGTATGCCATTACCGTTATAATACGCACTATTTTTTTTGGTCCTTTGTCTTCGTAAAGGCTTGCATTAACATCTTTTACATCCCCCGCATTATCACCGGAATCTTGGGCGCCTGATTCTCCACTGCTACCGTCTTTACTCATTTTTATTTGTATTTTAATTAGATCTTTTCAATGCTATAATCTGTTGACTCCCTGGTCACCATGATACCAAACTGTACTTCTTTTTTTATATATTAAATTTTATAATGATTTTTTTTCTTTTGCAGAACTTCTTCCGTACTTTCCTTTGGAATTTAATCTTTACATTTTTAAGATACAAATAAGAGACAAAATAACGATAAGGAACAACGGATATCACCTTTTGGATGTGAAAGCGCGCGCACTACTGCAACCTTTTGAAGAATAATCATGGTAAAGCTCATTCCTTCGGCACGTGTTCGAGGGTTGCGCACGCGTTCTTTATTTTTCTCTCCCTCTCTCTCTTTCTCTTTTTCTTTTGTGACACACCGCAACATATATCCGTTTCATTTCATAGTTCATTTATTGATAATAATGGTAGAATGTTATATCGATAATATAGGGATGCTTTTAATTGCTTAGATTAAAGTCAGTTTAAAATTACATTAAAATTAGAAAAAAAATTTTTTTTTATCCTAAATTATCGAACTTTACTATTTCCTATGTATATTTATATTAAATCTATCGCTGAGTGATTATGTATACATTATTTTTACGTAATATATATTTTTTTAATATAAAAATGTTTTACCGAAAAAAAACTGTTTTTACAAACTCAAAACTTTTGAATCCACACACGTATTTATTTACATATCTATAAACAAACATCTAAATATAATTATTTATATATACATTCTTTTTTCTATTTATATATAAATATAAATTTTGAAATTTGTATAAAATTAGTTTTATATATATATGTACACTTTCCTTATATGTAAATATTTATTTTTCTAATAATGATGTGTAAACATTCAAATGGTCGATATTTGCGCCGCGTTTTCTTATTCGCCATTTTGATCTTACGTCACGTGTTTAATAGCGATCGTCTTGTCTCTTTGTATGTAAGTAATAAACTTTGTACCGTTAAGATAGGGTATGGAACGATATCTCTCTCATAGATACGTAAATACATTTAAATGAGACATGTGCTGAAGTAAAAGATATTTTTTAATTATGAATCATTTTTATTTCTTCTGAATGGAAAATATTAATACGCGAATGGACAGTTAGTGATTTAATCGTGATAAATTCAAAAAAAAATTTTCATCAGTCAATGGAATAGTTCGTTTAATGCAGTTCTAACCTTTGTATGTGTTATAAGTAAATATTTTTTCTATTTTTATTTGATCGTTTATTTTCTAATTTTATTATATTTGATTGAATAAGTTGTTAGAAATTCGTAAACATAACCTTATTCTTGAATGACGTTGTTAAAATTAAGTTAATAATATCTTTGTATTTGTTGTCTATATCTAGTCTGGGGTTTGCTTTGATGTATCTAGAAATATGGACGACGAAGAATATCTTCAACCTGTTTTAACTTCCCAAGAAGAAGACAACTTTCAAAAGTTAAACACCATTCCTATTGTGTCAATACCACTTCTTTATGGGGCAAGCATTCTTTTAAAATATATAATTGCATTGAAATTATATTTGAGATGCATTGATTATTACTATTTTTTGAATTATTTAGGTAGCCTTAGAAATAATTGGTATTATTTTCATATCATTATGGCCAGAAGAAGAAAACAAATGCGACACTTATTTCATATATTTGTATCTTCATTGTTTCTACTGGCTGACAGTTATGGTGGCAGATTATATTGTAAAAGCTAGACATCATACTTTAAGAATTATGGGATATCTTGATTTTTATCAATCAACTTATCAACATATAAGAACACCCCTTTTTATAACGTCTCTATGGAACACATGTTATTTGCTGTTGGCTGTAGTTTTGCATCATACGCATAAAGTAAATTACGAAGAATATTGCAGGGCATCCGAATGGTTGACACCTATTAATTATATTATGCTCTTATCTACTTTCGAGCTTATGATAATCGTTCCAGTTTATGTGAATTATATTAGTAAGTATATTTTATATTTTATTGGTTAAAATTATATCCATACGTTTTTTCGTGTATCTCGTCATTTTCTATGTTTTTTTTTCTTCACAGAAAGAGTTATGAGATTTAATAGGTTACGCCCTTTACCTGATGTTAAAAGAGAGGAATGGTTGTCGTCTTTCACCCAAGATTCTTATGCGAGCAGTGGTGAAATTGGATATCATCATAGAGGTTCGAATTTAGAAGAGTTACTTGAAAAACAAGCTGACTTGATAAGATATTTACGAGATCATAATGTTAAATTGAGTCATAGAATAATGATATTAGCATCTCGCCAAAGAACACGAGAAACTTAAATGATTGATAATTGATATTAAAATAAAAATCAAAATAATTTAATTAAACATTTATGAAATAGCTTGTAACTATTTAAATTTAAACGCACATACTCATTTACAATGTGAATATTGAAAATAATTGATATTAATATATATTTTTGCTTTTTTTTTATTCATCTGCGTTTAGTTAGATTTAAAAAAAATAATTAAAATCTTGCTTTTATTCTTTGCATTACTATCTTGCAAAGGTTTTATTGACCCTTGTACTATAATAATATGTGAGATTTATGATATGCTTCATAGTCTAAATATAAAAAACACGGGTTCTACTCGTAACGAATCTTATAGGCCAAATATAAGGAGCATGAAATATAACATCAATAGTAGCAGATAACTCCACGCATTAAATCATAGTGCAAGGTGTTAATGATATGTTTAATGTATACCTACATATATATGCTCATCAGTAGCAAGATTTTATACAGATACATCTAGAATTATTAAATAATATGTTTATTATGTTTTCTAATTTAACTATTATCATTCTCCTAATTTTATTAGGAGAGATTCTTGCTTAAATTATTAGTGCATTCATTAACAAACTTTTAAGAATATATATATTGATATATGAGCTGACCTTAAGTAACATGGAAGATTAAAATGATTTTTTATATATTATGCTACTTAAGGAAATTAGAAAGTTAAGAATGTTATTAATTTTTTTTTTAATGTTTTGCGTGAATTTATTATTATGAATAACTCTCTAATAATAAGTATAAAATAATTATACTGGAATGCTGTGATAGAAAATAATGTATGCATTGTTTAAATGAATAAAAAATATAAGTATATTTTCAAATATACAATATATACAATATTGACTTTACATAAAACATATTTTAAATTGTGTTTTGAATTAAGCTTAAAGAATAGAAAAAGAGTATCTCTTTTATAAATTTAATAATGTAATATTTATCTTACATATAATAAGACTAAACGACTAAGGTTTTTCCTGCTCAAAAAAGTGTTCAATTATAGGAAGGGAATTAATGTAATTGAATTTCACGCAATTGAAATTAAAGTTTGAATAATGGTCTATTTTAAAACACCAATGTTGCATAACTATTACATAGAATCTTATATCAAAGCTTAGTATCTTCCAGAAAATAGTTTGGAAAAATGGATCAAAAAATAGAAGGAATATTTATGTCAGTAAAACATATGATACCTTAAATATCTGTTAATTAATGGAACGAAATCTATATAGCAGTCTAGAAGCACAGAGTATAAGTTCAATGCACCGTCTTCTTCGAAATCCACCGTTAGATTGGCTTATTGTCTGCTATAAAAGTTCTGCACATGTGTGCAACGGAAATAATATTACTAATAAAAAGAATTAAAGATTATAACGTTCTGATTTAAGCATCTTTTTTTATTTATATGAAATTATTTTAATGCTTCTGCGCAGTGATGATTTCGAACGTAAAATCTTTCTAGTTTTTTTTATTTTTTTATCTTTATACTTCTAAATAAATTACATTAGAATGCAAAAAATGCTAAAATCAGAACTTTATAATCTTTAATATTCTTTATTAGGAATATTATTACCGTTGCACGCATGCGCAACCTTCGAAAAATTAGATAAAAAACATTCAATAAAAGAATTCTCATAGAGGACACCATGCTAGTGTAATGGTGGATTTCGAAAAGGATAGAACGCAGTTGTTGTAATTCGTATTTTTAGATAACAATACATATTTCTTTCGATTAATTAACAATCATTTAAGGTGTACCTAATACTATAATAAGTATCTAATAGTATCTAATACTATAATACTGTAATAACACTTAAGTGATTGTTTAAACTAAAATGCATTTGTTTTAATCTATTGTAGTTAATATTATGATGCTCGATTTTAAGTGACACTGCATATATAGAGAGAATATTATTAATAATTATTAAGAATGATTAATCTCTCTTAAAAACCATTAATCTTAATTTGCTTTACTTTGTTATGAATTTACATGAATACGTTGAGTGTTTTACTTTCATTTTGGTAGTCGTCTTGTTTCATCATAATTACGAAAAGAAAGAAAAAAAAGAAAAAGTAGATTTTAAATTATGGGTATATTTGTAGTGTTTATTTTGTTTTTTGGTTTATTTAAATATTATCAACGAAAGGAGAGATATTACATTTTTCATATACTTCCTAAAAATATGACAGTTCCATTAGAAAATTGATAGTATGTGTATGTATTTATATATACATATATTTCTTTTCTTTTAATTATTATATTATTAAGAAAATGACAATACTAAATTACTATGTATATATATACAGATATATAACATAGTAGTGTAATTATTTTTATGCTTGTTATTTAGTTTATTCTCTAGTTTTTTCCAAAATTTTCAGAAGATTATTGCCTTACAATGTCACTTTCTTAAATTCCAGGTGTTCATGCTTCTTTACTGAATTATATTATAGAATTTTATTAAATAACTTTACTCATTATTTATTTTTCTTTTTTTTATAGATATCTTCCGTTATTTGTCTTCATATATTATAAAACGTATTCTCATCTACTTATATAGAAAAGAAAAAGAACATAAGCTTTTTTGATCAAATCGATAAGAGGATACAAATTTTTATCAAATCTTACAACTTTGCAATTAATATTTATAATTTCAGTAACATAATCATAGAGCAATAATAAATATTATTTAATATATTGTACTATTAATTAGAATTTTTTTCATGCAATTATATCTTGTTGATTTTACTTGGATGCGAGTAGTCTAATTTCTGTACTTTTATTGGATTCCTTTTTTCTTTTTATTAGACTTGAGGTTTTCTAACGCGTAAACACTTTTATTAATACCTATATATGTTGTAGCTGAAGATAATAGATTTGACACGTATACATGTATTGTATAATACATACATATATGCGTATTCAGATAATCAGGATGAATGACAACTCTTTATTTTGTATTTTATTATTAGGTAAGCGAAATATATACAGGATGCCAAGAAATATATATGTCCACAGGCGAAATAGTACAGGCGTATCACCAATTACAAGACACCCTATATATTTATACTTATCACTTTTCAATTATTCTTTCTTTTTACGCGCAAAAATATTATTTTACATTATTTATATTATATATGCATATAGAGTGGGGCATTAGAAAAAATTATTTTGATGTTAAATATACCTCTTTAAATAATGTAATTTTGTTGTAAGAATTTTTTCCATAAAATCATAAATAATTTAGTTTAGATTTTTCAAATTTAAATGCCTCATCCTGTACAAAATATGTTATACAAATAAATATATATGTATGTACAAGAGTACTGCATATACATAACTGTTAACTAATCATAACGATAGGCCTGTAGTTCATTAAGTAAGGGATGTTCTCTTTCTATGTGTTTACAAGGGTTTACACTACAATTTTTTCTGTCTGCAATTTTAATGATTAAAAACTCATTCGAAAATCAAGACTTTCTATCAGAGCTGGTTATTTAATATTTTGAAAATAATGTTCCTTCTTCTATTTTTACAAAGGACATGCTTAAAAAATATGTAATTTTAAAGAATAATTTTTACGCAAGTAAATCTGTTATTCTACTTTGAAAATATAAACAAATCAGCTTGAATAAAACACTTGTATCTTACGAATGACCCTGTGATCATCAAAATCGGATGAAAATTGTGACCACGAGAATTCATGGTGTAACTCCTTAAAAACACCTAAAAAAAGGGAACTTCTTTGTAATGAATTTTTGTAGATATATTCAAAGAAAAATAATGCATGTAACGTTAATTGAATATGGTAAAAGCGTCAACGTCTATCTACAAATCGTATGTTTTATTTACCTTACGAAATACTTATTGACTTCGTACCAGTTTTTTTGTAAAAATGAACGATCATCATACATTATTTGATGTTTCATTGTCAGTTCAGTTTTTCAAATTACGCGTCTCGATGACGTGAATCGAGTGAAGGAATAAGATTCCCTTTAACGCGCGGTCATTTTCTTCCGCACTTAGCGTTGAAGTCACAAATGTCTTCATATTTGGGTGATGGTAAACAGCCTTAATAATATTACGTATGTATATATTAGATATCAATATAGAAAACTAATTTACACTTTGGAACACTGAATTTTCTACATTACTAAATACCGCAGATGCATAGATATGCAGTGTTGTATTGCGCATTTTTAAATTCTACATACACGGATGCACACATCTTTTTTTTATCCTTTTCTTCTTCTATCAATTTTTTCCACCCCTAATCGCTTTTAAATGTTTTTTATTTTCTTAATTCTCGACCGATAGAAGAAATATTTACTCATTCATTTTTTCTTTTTTTTTTTTTATATCAGCCTCTGTTTTCTTTTTTTATAAGATTTTCTTCTAATTTAAAAATTTGTACTACGCTTAGGCCAACCGTTTCCACTTTGTTAGACTACGCGTTTTAACGGATTGGAGTTTTTCTTCAAAAATTCTAACTACTCTCTCTCTCTCACTCATTCTCATTCTCATTCTCTCTGTGAATATATGAATATATATATATTTTTATTACTTTTTAAAATTTATTTTTTTTTCTATACTACGCATCGTAAGTAATCACTCATTATTGTCACAATTATTACGCTAATTTATATAGTTTTTTTCTTCTAAGGACTTGCCATAAAAACGACAATTGCCTTCATACTGCTTTTTTCTCACTGAATAGAATCCCTTTTTTCTTTTTTTTTATTACGATGCAAATTTACACTATATCAAAGTTATTTCCATTAATGAGAAAAATAAGATAAAAAATCGTAAAGAAGACGCGTATATAATGATTTACATACCGTGAATATTTTTACTAGCACAACTTCGTGGTACGAAGATTATAATCATACGTTTTCTCTACGACTGACGATAACGAGATGGAAACGGTGGATTATAGAGTCGTCTCATCAATGATTTGACTTTCGTACAAGAATCGATTAATTATTATTTATATTTTATGTGCGCCGTAAAATAAAAAATAATATTTATTTCAAATAAAAATATGCAAAAGAAAACTAAACGAAACATAATGCATCAAATAAAAAAGGAAAGAAAAAAAATTCAAAATAAAATGAGAATTATTCGCATATATATCTCCTAGATATATATATATATATATATATATATATATA